AGGGTCTCTTGCTTATTAAAACTAGCTGGAATTAGAATTTAATTTGACCAGTGTGGCAATTAGTTTTATCTACAATTTAAGAATAGAATAGACTTCAAAGTATCACTTACTTTTTCTCCTACTTCTTCATTTAGGGTAAGGCTTGATAATACTGAAAGTGCAAACACAACCATAGTCAAACTGCTGTGGGCCAGGAAGCTTATTAAGGTACGATAGAAACTCTTCACATTATTCTAAAGCAAAAAGGAGAAACATAGGTATTATAAGGCCTCCAAATTTACAGATATTACGTATTTATAAATAAGCCATACAAATCATGAATAAAACAAAAAATAAGTAACTCTTGCCCTTAAGCCAAAGAACCATGACATAAAAACAAAACTCTTACCAAAGATTTTATCTGACTTTGAATAGACAAGTTGTGACGACAGAGATTTGCCAGGAGTCCCAAACATGGTATCGTTAACTCATCTTCAGTGGATTGACTTAAAAGAAAAGTCCAAAAGATGTTTTTATTAAAGTACCTAGAATTTAATTACAAGAAATTGTAGGGTGGGAGACTGGGGGACTGGGTGGTTGGAGGACTTTTAATTTTTTGGGTATTGAGGGGAGCTTGTTTTTTAACCAAGCAAAGCAAAATTCAGATTGTAATCCTCACAGTGTGGGCAGCTTTTAACTGGGTACACCTGAAAAAAGCCCCAAAGTATCAGAGATTAATGCTATCAAAGGTCATTTATTGCATATACTTCTAATACTCACTAGATTTCTCACAAGGACACTTGAATAAAGTTTTTATTAAGCTAACAAGTCTGTTCCTAGTGACAAGCATGAATTTTCTCCCGGCTCTTCTCTTTGTTAGCTTCCTGCTCCCAGAGGTGTAGGGGTGGGCTAAGAGGTCAATTATTATTCCATCACCCAAAGTCCCACAACCACTGCATTAAACAATCTGAAACAACATGGTTTTCAAAGAAAAGTCTGTTAACTTCAGAGAAATAAATGCCACAGCTCACTCTGGAGACCAGGTTAGTACAATATGCTGTATGCCTTCAGAAAGTTTAGAAACTCAGCTTGCTATTTCCCATAAGAGAAGACAACCGAGTACACACTTACACGTGGTGCATTAGAAATGAAATTAATTCATCGATGTTGGTGCCAGCACAGAAGACTGGAACGTTGTAGGTTAGCCTCTGCAGCAACTGAATACCCTGAGGAAATAAACAGCTATTCACATGTCTTTCCTATAGCATCTCACTGAGGAACGTTACAAGTTACAAAAGATAAAACCAAAAGGACAAATAACAAGACACCACAACTGAATTAGTTTTCAGACTCTAATGCTAACATAACAATTACACAAGCTGCTGCAAGCACATTGAGTAACATCCTACTGCGCTGATGTACTTATTGAAGCCCAAAGAGATTAGTAAGGTTTTATTTTGACAGAGGAGTTGCCTTTTCAGACCATCCAATTCTCCCCTTTGCCTCACCAGCAAGTTCTCCACCGTCAGTGAGAACGGGGTTTTGTCCTATTCAGAGGTCTAGAAGTCTCATCAAAATCCAAAAAGTACTTTGCAATGTCTTGCAGAAAGGATGCTCATAGGAAAACAGATTTGCTCTAAAGACTGCCAGCAGATCTAATGGTAGCAAAGTCCTTCATATAGCACTCTTTTGGCACATAAATGAGTTAATGGAAGTTAATATACTCAGATATGACAAGAATCACAGCACAGGTTAGCAGCTGAAACAAAATTTAAGTGTTTCAAGGTCTTATTGGATCTATTTGGCGACTACAATATCTCTCCTGCTGATGGGCCGATCACTTGGATCCCCAAGTTGTGGTACTCCTAGTGCTTTGAGATATACGCAAACCACGAGAAAAGTGTTCTTTGCTGGATGCCTGACTCATTTTCCACTGAACAAGGGCAACAGCACTACCAGCAAATTCATTTTCTGCTTTTCCATTCCATAAAGAGAGATGTGACCACAGGCAAGCAGCAAGCACTTGCTAAAAGCTCAGAACCACATAGGACAAAATCTGTGCATATGTAAAAAAAAGGCAAAACCAAAAACCCTTTAAGGAAAGGTTAAAATCAGTGAGGTCAAACTGGGAGATGTCAGACATTCACTGTAAGCTTCTGTAAGTACAGTCCCCTGGCATTCACTGGCAGGTGGCACTGACCAGAAGGAAGGAGGCCAGATATGCCCTGCAAAATTTCCATGAAAACAGGCAGCCACAGCTTTCCTTTCACTCCTTCACAGTCACCTGCCAAAGTATTAGATAAAACAATCTCCAGGCTTTTGTTATGAACATTAGGAGAAATAACTGAATACCACACCTAAGACTTTTCCTGAACACATTATTTCAGATAGGGCTTTTGGAGGGTTATTATCTGCATACAGTATAATGTATATCATGCAACAGTAGCTAAATATCATTAAGCATTAGTTCCTGTTACCTGTAATAAGAGCGGGTCGCTAAGGTTAGCAGAACTTCGATGAACCACTCCTGCCAGCACGCTGGTCAGATTGTAGGTGTCCTGCAGAGCTTCTCTGGTCTCATTGTCTGAAGCTAGAATTTAAGAATTATTAGCAAAACCCCCTATCTAATAGCAAAAGCAACTGTTGTATTAGCTACCAATTAAAGCAGAAGCCAAAGTCAAGTAGACTAAAACTGATAACTTGATAGGGTTTCTAGCAATAGCTAAATAAAAAAAAAAAAAAGCCAGTTCTACTTAGGAACTGGAAAAGATGTAGCAAACAAGGATGACATGCAGGTAAAGCAATAGATCAGCTGGAGGAGGACTAATTCTTAAAATTTTCCAGACCCAAACTCAGCAAATATTTTACAGTAACTGTTCCAAAAACATAAAAGAAAGCTCAGAGAGGCTTAAACTCCATGAATCAGAGATGATAAACAAGTGGATCACCCCAAAGGACTCAAGTTTGAAATAACTACTCATACATGATGAGAAACTAAGCAATGAATGGATCATTTTACCCCACATACGTACATTGTGCTCTGAGCACAGAGCTCCCAGGACAATGAAGTCCCACTTCTGTGAAATGGAGGGGAAAAAACCAAACAAAAAAGTCATCTCAAGAGACAAGTAAGAGGCAGTAGATTCTATTTTGCAATTGGGAAACTTGAGGCACACAGGCCCAAGCTATAGAAGAGCCCAAACTGCCACCCTGCCAGCACTCTGGTGGGAGAGGTAAACTGAAGTGATGACAGTTGTTGATGTAACGTGGCTTCTCCCTATCCTTACATTCAGGCAGGTCTCTCACTTCTTCAAGCTCCAAAAATAAAGGACAAGAGAATAATTCCTCATCCTACCCAGTGAGGAAACAAATTCTGACAAGCACAATCACTGTAATTTCACAGTGATGACTTGAAATCTGCTTCTCATGGAGATTTAACATCTTAACAGATGTCTCAGCCAAGCACTCCACCACAACGAAAAATACTTCATCTTTCACACCTAAAGCTTCTTCCAAGAAATCCATCACCCCCACCACAGAATCAGCCCCTGTCTTATCTTCCCTTGCCCAGACAAAAGATAAAAAGTTCAGATGCAAACCTTACCTAGTTGTGATAGCAAAGTAACCACAGACAAGGTCAGAGATGGGTTTATATTAGTGTCCTCAAGGAGCTCCACAAGGCAGCTGAGACATTCACTAGGTAGAATCTGGTTTGAAGCAAATAACCGTGTAAGCTTCAGTCCAGAGATAACCTGGAGATGAAAGGAGAAAAATAACTTTACTCAACTACAACAGAGTAATTCACACAGAAGTCAAAGCACAGTATTAAATAGATTTTGCCCTATATGACAAACTGAGAATACAAGTGCTGAGGCATTTGTATTCACATCTGCAGAAAAAAAAAAAGTTCTGAAAAAAATCTGTTTTTCATTCCTGTGGATGTGTTACCTTTACTCTTGGAAAGTACTAGATTTATTTATTTTGAAAGTACAACCGAACAGATTGTTCAACACAAACATTTAGCAATCAGCCTTCAGCTGAGCCCAACAGCCTGCTTCCTAAGGACCTGCACAGGAACCCAAAGGTGCCACTCCACAGGAAGAGACGCAGCAGCAGTCAGTGCTGTTTTGGGAGCACTCTGTGACTGAGATGAAAAAAGTGGAACCTGGGTTCAGGGAACCCTATACAAGAAGATGCCAAAAATGATACCTGTGCACATCAATACAGGCAGACACAATTTGTATTTTACATAACAGACACATAATGTTGAGTTTGCACATTCCCTGTGTATCTCTTTACAAGGGACACAAACAAGAAAGCAAAGCGAGATGCTAACTCTCATACAAATGTTTTAGCGATTAAAAAAATAAATCTGTATTTGAAAAAGGTACCTTGCATACGAAGTAACTCAGCCAATGGCCAACACAAGGGTTGTACACAAGGCTGTACCTGGAGGTCAGGGAAATGCACTGGCCTACCCTCTGAGCAAAAAACACACTGGAATACGTGTTGCATAGAACTGGCAAACTCCAGATACAAGACTAGTTCATCGTTCAAACTCTGTTTTTTAAGACGTTAAAATAAATGATCCTTGTGGGTCAGAATTCTGGGGATATATGTCGTAAGACACGCTATATGCTTGCCCTGAGTGTTTATAAGCATACTGCACACATCTGCAAACACACTGTAAACACATAAACACACCACAAAGCATTATAACAAAGGACAGCCACCCCCCACGCCCCGCTCCCATCGCGCCTCGGGACTCCCACCTCCAGGCTACGCTGCAGGAGCGCGGCGTTGTGCGGTGTCTTGGCGGCGCGGTACTGCGTGGCTGCCAGGAGCAGGGCCTTCATGCAGCCCTGGGCGTCCATGGCGGAGCAGCCCCTCAGACGCTCCGCACTCCACCGTCACTCGCATTTCCCGCCGCCGACGCCATTTTGACGCAGCGGCCACTGAGCGGGACCGGCCGCCGGCGCCGCGGGGCACGACGGGAGACGCCGACGCCGCCATCTTGCTTAAGGGAGACGGAGTGGGCGCCAGCGGGAGCCGAGGGTGGAGCGGGGGAGATCCAGGGAATGCAGCAGCTTGGGTTAATGACACCGGTTTCAGGGCTAACGTGCGGCTGAGGCGGTGCAGAGAGAGATTCTTCCTAAGCGGAGTTGTATGGGGTTGGGGTGAGCTGTCTTCCAACCCCCCAACCTCTGGAGGGCAGCCTCGGGATTGCAGCTGCCGCCGGTTCCCACCTGCGCCCACAGCCCTGTTTCTCTTTGTTACTGCCTGACTTTTCCTCTCCCGCTGGGGTGGACTCGAGCCCGGGGAGCAGCCAGGACCCCCTCCTGGGAAGGGGAGGCCTTGGTGGGTTACCGGCGGCGGCGGGTATCGAACCCGGGTTTGTCCGCCTCGCACACTGCCCGCCCCCTGCGGTCCGACACCGTGTTCGAACCTTCCTTGTACCGTGTTCGTTCTTACACCATGTTCATACCCTCCTTACAGTATGTTATTTCTTACACCATATTCTCATACCTTTTGACTCTTCAGGTACAACAGGGTCTGCCACCTCACTGCTCAACCACCGCCCTCCCCCCCCCGCCTCGACACGGGCACCCCCTTGGGATGTTGGAAAGTAGATGCTGCTGCGTGAAGCTTTCAAACATGTTTTCTCAACTCATGCACGGGTTGTTTTCTGCTATATGTGTTACCTGCAAATGTGTGCAGGAATGTGTATGTTGTCCTCATTTTCTTATACTGTTAACAGGATAAACATTGCCATATAGCAATAAAGCACTGGTGAATAATGTAATGTCAATCGTAATGTAAATTTCATTCTGTGTCTCTTTTTCTTGCTTTAAATCCTTTATCCTTATCATGCTCTGTGCTTCCCTTGACCGCCTCAGAGGTAATGCCTGAGAAGTGACCAGAGGGTGGGCTTGGAGCCACCCTCAATCCTAGATGCAGCACCTGGAGCTGCAGCCACAATTGCGTTGTAAATCCAAGTCCAAAACACGGCTGCCAACTGCCAACTAAAAGGCACCACAGCCCGGCCCCTTGTTCCTTCTCCAGCCATCAGGAATCACACAGTCAGTGTCATGAGGCACAGGCTGGGAATCCTTGTCACTCAGCCTTTTCCCCGAGCTGAACGTCCGTGAGACTGACTGAGCACGTGGGGGACTGCTGAGACTGTGATTTCAGAAAAACTAGTGTTGTGTTCTGTTAAAGACCAAGCTGCTGGAGGTGGAGTGTCTCAGCACAGCAGTTGCTCAGTCTGATACCTGTGATAACCAGCTATAAGACAGGCTGCTCAATTTTGAAAATAAAGAGACACATCAGTGTATGCACTTCTACAGAGCAAGAGTTGGTTTTTTTTCAGTCCAATAGTACAATTCTTCATGGACAACTACGTTCTTTTCAATTCATAAGGTTTTGGACACATATTTTAGTATTTCTGGCAATGCCAGAGTCAATTAATATCCTTATTTTTTTGTTTCCTTCATGCTATAAGTACCAGTTGAGGCTGGCACCAAAAACTGTTAGCACTGTTAAATTAATAATTAATTCTTAAGCACTGAAAGAACTAAAATTCCTTTGACAAGTTCCTTTCTTGTGAAAGAAACATAATAGAAAAAAAATGTGACTAGTATTGTCCATTAAAATACATAAATAATTTGTGAAAAATCTTAAACACACAACCACTATAAATATCTTCCTCACTGTCTCAAATGGTGAGAGAGTGTGTACTAGTGACTGGGAGAGTCAGGACATACGTTCCAATTCCGGCTTTGGCTGTTAGTTGCAGACCACCTTCAGAACAAAAGTGTTTATTAAATATTTAAAATTAGGGGTAGTATTAAAGCAAATTTTTATATTTAAATAACCCAAAAAAACACATACACATCATAATACAGAACCAATGGCAGTAGCAAATTAAATGCAATAAGCATTCTCATACGTACAGTACCTATTAAACACTTGTATGCATTCATACTGACATGCATGTAGAATTTGCACTCCACTTGTAATCTTCCAGTATCATTCCCCAATATTAAAAGTATTTCAAACCATTTTCATTTTGTTGATTAATTCTTTATGGCATGGATTTAACACAGCATTTTTGTTTTAATTTGGATTATTCCAAACTACAGACTATTACTAGTATTCTTTGATGTTGATGAAATACTATCCAATCATACAACGAGGCAACATGAATCATGTGCAAAATAGCAGAGTTTAGGGGTCTTAAAGCATCTTATAATGTCAGTAGAAGTTTTTGCATTTATGGATTTTATCACCACATATCAATTCTGTCATAAATTACTGCTTTATGCACATTCATTTATTGTATTTATATTGCTGCTTTCTAACAGAATATTCACTAGACACATACCTGGACACAGATACCTTCCCACGTATGTGTGTGTCTGTTATAAAAAATCTTTTATTGCTGAGCAAAAATACATAGTAGCTTGTACTGGATCTAATGGGAGAAAATACAGCTGCTCTGACAGTCTGCCAAAGGAAGAGAGTAATTCCAATGGTAAAGATCCACAGAGGATGCCCAGCTGGCAGCTCTCTCCAGCTGATCCACTGCACTGTGGCACAGCCTGAAATGGCAGCTTCCCAAATTGTCAGGCACAGATCCTTCACGGTAAGACAGTGACATAATCGGCGTCATCAATTTCTGTAAAGTATTAGATAAAAACAAAAAAGGATGTTGTCATTGCAAGTGGCCCTTCTGAAAGGCCACAGTAAGCAGGATGGCCTGTGGCAGGGCGGGTATCAGTAACTCAATTTTGTTTCTCACTATTCTCTCTGCTGTTGCAGGGTCAATGTTTAGGTACCCTGTCCTATGGACTGGGTTTGCCAGCAGCCCACACAGAGGCAAATCCTGCATCGCCTTTTCTGAGCCATGAAGCTCTGTTATAAACAGTTGTATCCATGTGAGACCCCCTTCTTCCTGAGGAGCAGTGAAATGTTGGAAATCATTCATACTTGGTAAATCAGATCAATAGCCCAGATATCTGTGACTATTGCATAACACATCCTTTCTTCTTTAAATAAATACCCAGGAGAAAAGGTCTCATCCCAACCAAGGAAGGAGAGCCTGAAGAAACCCTTTCTCTCTTACACTTTGTTCAGATTTATTATGCTTTTTGAGAAGCCAGGGAAAAAGCAGAAATTGCATGCTTGGGACTCAAAACTCCACTATGGAAACTTACTGCTCTTCAGGCAGCCACTCTCAGACAAGCTGTTCCTAGGCTAGAGAACAAAAGTTCAGAAATCTCCAACCACCGGGATCGTGACTCCAGTCCCTTGAGGTGTTCCACTGGTAGCACTGGAGCGCTCAGTCCCACATGTGCAGCAAAGCCAGCTGCTGGTGCAACATGAGGGACTGGGACAGGAAAATACAGTGCTTGCTTTGGGGAGCACTGCAGTGTGTTGTGAGGTGCCTGTGTTTCAGAGGGATCAATCATGACATTAACCTGAGCTCCCCCTGTGACCACGTAATAATGCAGTTCTGAGGAGAAAGTTTGGAACGCTGGATAAGTGAAATTTAAATTAAAATTGAATAACAACAATTCCAAAGTACTTGGATTATTTCTAATAGCCTCCATTTTTATGGACAACCACAAATATTTTGACAGTGAAATGAAAGGGTTTGTTTTCCTCCCTGTGAGTCCAGAACAGAGCATTGTGCATCTACTAGAACAATCCTTGTTGCAGGACCAGACAATAAAATATGTATTACACCTGATATTTCCTAAAAACGTATCCATGCTACTGCAGTATTTTCCATCTCCCCAGAGCAACAACGGTAAGATACCATAAAAACGTTTTTAGAGCGAATGTGGCCTATCTGCCTTCTGATGCAGGTGACAAGGTGATGTTGAAGACATGGGAAATACCTCTCTGCTACTGTTTCCCTCAGTCTGTTGGGCTCAGGGAGCGCCAGGACTGTTGCAGGGCTGTTGTGTGCAAAAAACCCAATAACTGCAGCACAGAGAGGCTGCCCCACACCACTGCACTGAGCTATTGTTAGGCGTGAGATGTAAATCACACAGCAGATTGGAGACTTATAGGTTTTGTTTCCTTTACAGTAGTGGTACTTAATGAAAGGATTTCCCCTGCTCACGTGTTCCCTGGCTTTGACTCCTGTCACAGTCAGAGGACACTGAACAGTTTCAGGGTTATTTTTCAGCCTGTGGCCTGATGGATGCTGCAGCTGAACACAGCACAGCAGGAACATGGAGAGTGACTTTCAGAGGCGTGTGAGGGGTACTGGCAAGTTACCAATAGCATGTCCAGTCATTCCTCCCAAAACAAGGCTGTTTGGATTGACATGGGGCTATAGAACATTCTAAAGTTTTATGAAAACGTGCACCTTTGTTGCATCTGTTTCCATAATTCTGTCATGTAGAAATATCATATCCCTGTCTTACACCTGAGACTCATAAGCACAAATTAGCAGAGGAAGATCAATGGGAGGCTGAACTCTCTGGTTCCAAATCTGTGATTCTGAGTACCAGGCTATATGCTTATTAATTAGTCATATTTTAATACAAATCACAATTAATTACAAGATGACTGGTTTTTTTCCTTCTTTTCTTTTTTTCTTGCTCCCCTTCCCCCCAGTCTCAGAAATAACTGAGTTAGTTTTTCGTGTAAAAATAGCTTAGAACCTGGACAATGAAGGTAAAGGACAGCTTCAAGTCCCAGTGCAGTGCAAGGGCCTGCTGGCACCTTGGCAGAACCACATTGGGTAAAACTGGTTCTCAGCCTTCCCTAGCCTAGAAATGTCAACACCCATGAGGGAGTGAGATGTGGGCAACATCATGATTCTGTATCTCTCACAATTTTAATTTTTTAATTTGTAGTGGATGAGGGTAAGTAGCTTAAGTAACCTGTGAGCTAAGAATAACCATTTTCAGTGAACATAAGAGAGAAGGGAGAACGTTGAACTTCTGTCCACATGAGAGGACATTTAGCAACTATTTACCACAAACCTGTCAAAGCTGTCATCTTAGAAAAACCCACAAAGGCAGAGCTAAATTTCTCACCGCTATAAACCTTGTCTATTCCTGAGTTGAACCTCTGGCTTCTTTGCGAGGCCTTCTGTTTCTTCACTGGGTAGCGGAGGTTTGTTATTAGTCCTTGATCTGGCTTTTCAAAAGCATATATCAGGTCCTTTAACGTTCTGAAGATCCTCTCTGGAGCACCTTCAGAAGTCTGCAAGGAAAAGACAACAAAGTTTGTTTGCAACTGTCCTTCCCATGGAGTCCCCTAAATGAAAGGAATTATAAGTTGTTTCTTATTTACCAAGGACCTGTTCGTAAACAGGTTTGGTGACAGAATATTGTACTGTCCTTAAAACACTTGGGGCACCTGTTTAGTAGCATTGATTTGGCACTAAGAGTAACCTCCCTCATATTTATTTTTTTTTCCCCCAAAAAGAGCATACATTTAAAATATTGATGTAGATGTGGGCTGCAGCAATCCACTGCAGCAGAGCACCAAAGAGAGACAGCATTACACACTCCCCTCTGGTCTTAGAGCATAAGTTTAGGGATAACATATTTAGTTCTCACTTGAAATGTTGTATTTAAATAACTATGTAACAAACAGGAGCCAAACTTTTACAAAATGTCAGCACTGTCAAGTATAGGACATGTGCAGTGGTGGCGGATGTGTCTGAGGATCCCTACGAAGGCCCCCAGCTTTCGCTATCAGGCAGGGGTTTATTATCTGTCCAGCTTTGTAACTTGCCTTGGAGACTCCTGAGGCTAAAAATGGAGAATAGTACTTCTTAGGGGAGCAACAATGTTCTCACAGCCTGCTTTTGAAGTGTGGGTTCATACAACAAGACTGAACTGCTTCCATGGCACAGCCCCACGGGAATTTGTACTCAGACTTTAAAGTGCTGGTGACATCAGGGCCAGACAGTGAGCACATCAATCAGCTCTAATCGCAGCAAGCGTCCTCATTAAAAGTGAACGGGGCTTTGGTTTCGCTTAATTCACCATCTAACAAAGAAATGTGTCTTTATTTTCTTTGGTTTTCTGCATCCTTTATCTTCCATTCAGCCCTGTATGGACTTTGTGCCACTGTCTCTGTGTACTAGATCTGGCTGGGATGGAGTTAACACTCTTTGTAGAAGCCTGGATAGTGCTGTGTTTTGAACGTGTGACTAAAACTGTGGATAACACACCCATATTTTGGCTGTTGCTGAGCAGTGCTCATGCAGCCTTCAGATTGTTCTTTTTTTCACATTTTGCTTCCCTAGTGAGTAGCTTGAGGGCGTGCAACATGCTGGGAGGGGACACAGAAGGACAGCAGATCTGGATGTGCCAAAGGGCTATCCTATCCCATGCCATCCCATGCCATCCCATCCCATCCCACACTCTGATCAGCAATAAAAGCTCAGGGAAAGTAAAGAAGTGTGTGTTATGGCATTTGTCTTCTCATGTAAACATTGTGTGTGCTGAGGCCCTGTTTTCTAGGAGGTGGCTGCCTCCTGATGGGAAGGGGTGACTAAATTCCATCTTTGCTTTGCTTGCATGAACAACTTTGCTTTACCTATTTAAATGGTCCAGGAGTTTCCTCGCTTTTGATCTTCATGTTCTCTTCCCCCCACCTCCCCTGTTAGGCAGGGCAAGGAATGAGCAGCTGTGGGGGCGCTTAGCTGCTGATGGGGGCAAACTACCACACTCTAGAAAGCTCGTGGCTGAATCTGGCCTTTAAAAACCCCCAAATAGTCTCTCCTCCACCATCAGTATATTATTTCAGTCTATTAGTTTAGTAAGCCCAAACAATCTGACTTAAAATTTTGAAGAACAAAACTGTTCTTTCACGTTCTTGGCAAAACCTTGTAAAGAAAAGTGGGTTTGAAAAAACTAAAAGTGTCTGAGTTATTACCTGCTGATAGGAATGACAGCAAACCCCGCTACCGTGGCTATAGTCCAAAACATACTATTTTTTTAAACAAACCATTCTTCTTCATGGCAAATTGCATCTTTCATACATTAGTGGAAAACCATTAATAAGCAATAAATTACCAGCCTGTGAGAACTTGGCATGGTTTTTATGAAGTGATTTCCTCATTCCACTTAAATGCTACTTAATTGTTGGCAGTCCTTTTGGCTGTCTTACTACATGCAGGGTAGGGAGCCAGCTTTATGGGCGTCCTCTCACATTGCCTGGGGATTTGATTGATGTAGTAGTCTGCTCTTACACTTATCTTTTCTTGAATAAGCAGCATTATCTGCTGCTTCATCACTTCAGGTGCTTCACAATCACACAGAATTATAGATCCTCTAAATGAAAAAGATCATTGCAATATTCCAGATCCCTACGAGATGCTGTGTGTGATGGCAGAGCTTTCAAGTAGAAAGAGCTAATTAGGAACAGGAGCAAGTAACAAAAATGATAGATTTTTCTTCAGTGCTATCAAAAAGAAATGGTCAAATCAGAAAGCAGATGGTTAATAAATAACAGATCTGCTTAGATTATAAGGAAGTTCTACAAAAGCTACTTTTGTAGCTATATGTAATAATAAAAATAATATCAAAAAGACAAGAAATGAGTGGAGAAGAAACCAAACTTGTGAATATTTTCTATGGTATTGTGTTTATGTATTTTTTTTTTAAATCTATGATAGATCAAATGATCATAGACTAAAATGATCATTGATCAACTATGATCTTTTAATCTATGATTTTTAAAATCTAAGATCTTTAGTGCAATCTCTAGGTATATAATGAGAGTTACTCACCTGTATTCTAAAATATCCTTGGTGCTCCCTGAAGATACGGTAAGTGTAGACGAGGTTTTCAAAGCTGTGAAAAACATAGTTGTATACATAATACACCACATTTGTAACTAAGCACAAGACTAGAGATATCTTCAAATAGGAGATAGTATTACAGATATGAGAAGTTGTGCAGTAAAATTCAATGAGACAGAGGCAGAAAAGCAAAGCAGAAGATTGCAAAAAACCAGAGAATGCACAGTGAGTGAAGGTTTAATATCTTGAAATACAAGATTACTCTAACTAGGACTTTCCAAGAACTTATGAACAAAACCTAACACACAGACCTTTTATAAGCATAATTTGATTCCACAGACATCATCTTCTCTCATCTGTCTTCTTATCCTCCTCTAGTGTGATATTCTATCACAAGAAGGCTGTTGGATTCTTGGAGAGATGTTAGCAGAAAACGGCCTCCAGTCACCAGGACCCAGAAAATTTCTGCATTGCTCCTATTTCTAAGAAAATTGTTCTTTCTTTGCATTTCCCAGGTTTTTAATTACTGTTATTTTTAATAATATGCAGGTGTTTGAACACTAAGGCTATTGATGGCTTTGGATGTAATTTGTCAGCAGAAATTAAAGCTTTATCAGGTACTGCAGTGGCAGCAACTCAAGAGGTGAACTCAAGATCGTGACTGTGATGAAAAAAGGCAGCAGAGTTGCAAAACGACGTACACCACAAATAAGTGAGAGGATTGGGGAGCGGGGAGCAGTGTCTGAAAACAAGTTCTTTTAACTGGCATGCATGTTTATCAAAAGAACTTTAGCTGTGGCTAAGTGAATTGAGCTGTCTTGAGTGGGAGAATCTTAGGGTGAGAACCTGTATCAGGGGACTTGCACATAAATTAAGAGTTACTCTGAAATAAACTGCTTTGTTGTGCAAAAAGAGTTACTCCGGACTGAGATCAGGAGAAGGCTTCCAGTTATAACAGATTTATTTTAATTCAAAGAGTGGTATCACAAGGATGCATGTTTTCTTCTTGATATACCTGTGGAAATCCACATGTTCCTTGCTTAAGAGTACTTCTTGAATGTAGGTGCTCATTTTCTGAACAAAGACAGAGAAGTGAGAAAAAAAAATACCAGAAACTGATAATTTTTGAAACTCATTTTTTACCAATCATCTAAATTTTAAAAGGTTACTGCCTGGGTATTATTTAGCTACTGTACTTTTTATTAAATAAACATGAAATTACCATTAGAAAGGAAACTTCTGTTTCCACATTAACTACTAAATGCTTATCAAGAGCTGGTAATAGAGTAAAAATTAATATTGCCTGGCCTAGGCACAGGGGAGATCCAGTGACAGAAAAGCAAGGTGAGAGGAGAATGATGTTGAACCATAAGGAGAGCAGTAGCAAGTGCAGTAGATCTTGACTGAGGCACTGTCAGAGACCTGGGACAGTTTTGGATGAAAATGACAGTGTGCTGTGGAGGAAGATGTATCAGCAGAGCTGTGCACCATGATTTGTTAGAGATGCTTTTGAATTGGTTCACACCATTCTGACTCCCAGATTCTCCATGGAAGTCCACTCCTCCCCATATCCCAATAATAGAGGACAAAAAAAGGTTGGTTGTTTGCAAGTGGATCAGGATCTCTGCCCAGGGATCAGCTAATTTGAGAAAGGTGCATCAGTTTGTGCATCAACCATGTCAGGTGCTAAGCAAAGTTTCAAGATGCAATTCTAATCCAAAAGTTGTCTTGAAACAGCATTGAGAGTTTCAGTGTTGATCTCCCCCAGTTTTAGGTCTGCTTTCGTCTGACTATTGAACCACTGCCAGGAAGTCCAGTCTCTGAGGCAATTCTCAGCCAACACACTGTTACCATCCCACGTGCTATCCGAAGATAGGCCTTGCTTTTACTTGTGCAAGCCAGGCCTTGCTATTACCTGTTACACCACTGCTACCACTCCTTCAGTTTAAGTATTGCATTTATTAATGTATGAGTTACAGTCAAATGCACTAAACACTAATGTTCTGTTAGTTTTTAACACTAAAACCCACAGAGGCGAGCTGGAAGTCACATGGTTTTTTGCACGCCTGCCTAGATATCACACTGTGACAGACCAAAGCATGTCTGCAAGATATCAGAAGTTAAATCTGCCTTGCCCTTAACAAAAAAAAAAGCAAACAAAAAAAGCCCAACCCAAACGAAGCAAAAAAAAAAAAAGGGACATTTGTCCCTTTTGTACCTTCTGACAGGGTACGCAAGCCCATTCCCTCCCACACTCCTTGTCCTCCCCTCACCCCCTACATTGTCTCATTCCACACCACAGTGAAAGCAGGTTCCCATAGCTCCCTCCCTGAGGGCTCTGTTTGTCCCCCACTTGCTATTTCCCTTCTCCTTTTTCTGTTGTTGCGCAGACCTCCTCTCTTCTATCTACCAACCCTATAGTACTACGTTTTTCTCTCCCTTTTTCTCCCTTCTCCTTTGATTCGTTTCATAAGAAATGCATTTTTAGTCACTGATAAAACATTTTCTTGTATTTCTGAATTAATTAGATGTGCTGTTAAAAATTTTTGATGTCACGCTCAAACACATCCTCAAGGAAAGTGTAAAACCTCACAGGTTCAAGCAAAGAAAGACCTAGATTCTAATTTATAAACTTTAATACATTAGGAACAGATCAATTATATATGAGAAGTGTAAAACAACCTTCTTGACAGGGAAATAAAAGTGCTATTCCCTACAGGAGAAGAAAATAATAAAATTTTAATTGTAGTAATTAAAGTTAAGGACTAGAAGTAGCAATTTTTTATGCCCATCTTGTCCGTGGATTTGTCATATGAATTCAAACAGGAGTTTGTAACTTTCTGTCTCAGCTTATATTCTTATTTTAGGTAAAATTCCTTTGAAACACAAGGGTAATCTTTCATCAGGGAGAAATTCTACAAAGAAGGAAGTGTTTTGTAGCACACCATGAGACTTTTCAGTCTCTCAACAGTGCTAAAATGCTGTTTACTCATCATTACAGAGGCAGTTACTTTGAGTAAGGTTCTTAACATGTTTTGGCAGGCTAAGCTATTTTCTTTGGGCTCCCCTTAATGTCTGCAGAGAGAGACCAGCACCAACGGATTACAGTTCATTTATTGTCTGTTACATAAAATATTTTTTGCAAATTCCACCCTCTCACCACTTACTATAAAGGAAGCCTAAGACGACCGGCACTACTTGAATGCATAGACACACTCCCTTGGGGTCTGTTAATATCAGAGAAGAACCATTAATGTTAGAGAAGATGAATGTTGCCTTTGGATCCATCTGAAAACTCGCTAAAGAATCAGTATTAGAGTACTTACAAAATACACAGACACAAGGCTCCTTCCACGCTCTCGCTCTCTCGTATTAAATAGCTACCATTCTTTCTCTTCTTGGCCAGCAGTTCTTCACAAGTTCTTCTTGTTATCTTTCCATGAAAAAATGGCAACTCCATGGACAAAAGAAAACAAGGTATCTTGCCTTTCAAAGCAATTCCAGAGGAAGTCAGAAGCCTGGCATTAAAAGAAGACTTATTTCAAGTGCAGCTGCCTGCAGAGAACTGGAACTGGAGGCACTAAGTACACACACGAGTTCACCTGTGTTGTTCACTGACCAGTCCAATGTGAGGCTGGTTAGCAGCTGCTGCTCACAGCTCATGAATGCAGTGAAGGCAGGAAAGGGTTGGTCTACATTGGTCACCGTCCACATCAAAAAGGAAGAGACTGTTGAGTTATATACCACACCTCTAAGTTATGGAATAACTAAGTTGACACCAAAGTATGGTTGTCTTTTTAAGTTAACTTTTTATGTTTAAAGTGGCTCAAAGCCCTGCAAATAGGGTCCTATGCTACAGGAATAAGTCAGGACTGTATAGAGAAGGACAAAATTATCTAAGGAAACTCTTGACTTTTTTTATTCAGAATTAATTGGTGAATTTGAGAAGAGAAAATGAGTGTTTGTGATGTTCTAATCAGCCTCAGTCATGAAGCCATAGAAAGTTCCAGAAGAGACTTGGCAATTCTCTGTTCATGCAGAGGTTTAAACAGATTTCATCAAAATAAGCCATAGAACTACACAAGGTGTTTAATAGAGAAACAGTGTGAGGTGGAGGGTTTCTCCCTGGCTGGCTTCTTGACACCAGGCTGGGAAAAACAACCTGTGAAAAAAACGAGCTAAATTCTGACCAAACACTGTAAGCAGGAGTAGCCATGTTGTACATACAGCTATTACTTTCATGTTTCTTACTCTGACAACTTTGTACACACAAAAATCTGATATTAACATTAGTGTATTTAACTGCAAGTTAATCATGCATGTCACTAAGATGATTTCCAGGGGTATCTTAGTTCAGGAATAAAGCAATAAGGTACTGTTTTGTCTCAAAGAACTTTCGAGACTTATGAAAAAAAACATACCCTCAAAAGAGAAACTTAGAAATGGCAAGTCCAAAGTGACACTAAAGCTGAGGTCTGTACTGCAGTCACCACAGATTACAAACAAAACAAGTCCCCATCCCCAAGCGGATGAACTTGTGTCTGTACTTAGAACCTCCAATTTCCGTTGTCTGCAGACAGCAGCATTTGGAATAAGTCTTCTTTTATCCCCCGAGGGGATGGGGATAGAGGTGTTGGGGGGGAGATACCCTTTCCTTCCAAGTGTCCATAAGAGCATATGACAAATATTCTCCTTGCTTTGAAATACACTTGTATTTTCCTACCAGTTAAAACTGTTTGGGGCACATCTTATAAATAAACATTTTCCATGAGGTGTTGTGAGGTGAATGGCTTTTCCAGAAGCCTAGCTCTGCAAAGGAAGAGCAGCAGCTGCTCAGCGGTGCCCTGCTTCAGGCAGATCCTCTCAGCATTGAAAGGAAGATAAATGGGAAACAACTGCGAATTCCTCTTTCAGAAAGGTAATGACTATATCTTCTTCACAATTTTCCCTAAAGACCTCATTATCTAGGTGCAGAAATAGAAGACAGTAGTTTCAGTAGATCTTGCAGATCTGAATCCAGAAGTTACTTAAAGGGAAACAACAACCAGATGCTGCCCACTGATGGCTCAGTAGAATGCTCCTCTGATGACAAAAAAACCTGGAGAAGGAGAAAGTGCTTGAGGAGAATTGGGGCCTAGGGTCTCCTTCCAGCTACAGTCACCATCCCCTGCTCTGACCACCTTCCTCCTCAGTTGTTTCCATGGCTCCCAGAGGGCACTCATGAATTAAGATCATCCTTTTTCCTTACCTTACCTATCTGTAGTCTTTAAATGGGCCTGAGAATAGGAGCTTGATTTAAAAGCAGGTATCATAGAAGTACACGAGAAAGGGGTCTGGGAAGGAGAAAGAAGAGAGAGGCTATAAATACAGTGCGGTCTGTCACTAAACTATAAACATGATTCTGTGACCAGGCACAGGAACTTTACATTGTGTCTTGTATGCTTACATATATATATATGTGTGTGTGTGTGTGTGTGTGTGTGTGTGTTTTGCTCTGACACTGGAGAGCAAAAATGCACAGCTTCTGGCAAAAATAAAACAGGACTTGCAGTTCACAGCCTGGGACACCTGCTGATGGAAGGCGAGGTGAGATTTCCTTGTCAATCACCTCAGAGCTGCGCCGTGAGCCTCAATACAGCTTGTACCATACAGCATTGAGTCTTTATTACGTATGTTGGGATCACATAATAATATATTTCCACAAGCCAAATTTAGCTGTAAACTCTGAGCAAACATTTCCTAACAAGTATTTATGGCTTAACAAATTTAGCAGGTATTTTTGGCTTACACAAACCTGCATACCCAGGCTGCCTTCTCAGCTGAGTCTGAGGGGTGGTCAGAAATATGAGCTGGTGGTATCAATTGTGCTGAGATCTGTGATGAGAGGCCTGGGAAGGTAGAATGGCAGTGATGTCCCAAGGCAATGGGGCTTGAGTGGTTGAGGCAGTCACACCAGGCTGAGCCTCTAGGCATTATCACTCAGATCTTAGCTACACCAAATCAAGCAAAGGCTGTTGTGAATCTGCTCTTAAAATCATTTTACTCCATTCCAAAATAGGAATTGGTCTGGTTTTTTCTTCTCATCTACTAAAGGAGATTTCACAGTTTCTAGGATAGCCTCCTTGCAGTGACTAACTAGCCTTTCAGATGATAGAGAAAAGGGGAAAAGCAAAGTTCTTTTTCCTGGTAGACTGCTTCTTGGCCTGCTTCTACCATAGCATAGAAAAAACTAAGAGTATCGCTATCTTTGTATGTCAAAAAAATTACATCCTTTAGTCAAGTTTTTTGTTTTATGAAGTTAAGGCAATCAATTCCTGCAGTCTTTTCCCACAAGCCACATTTTCTGGCAACTGTTCTCTTTACTTTCTCTGATACCACCTTGGCTAAAACTTGTATAGAATTTGATGCCTACAAATGATCTAAATCTTTTGATTAGAAGAACAGGATAGTTAGCCACTCTTCCTTTGACAGAACAGCTGTTAGAGAAGCAAGACCTGCAACATTTTGGAAGCAGTGTTGAGTCCTAGTTGACCATATATCTAATTGGTTTTCTGCCATTCTATTGCCTTTACTAATTTTCATTTTTTTTCCCTCTTGTAATCATAAAACTTAGTGGGGCCACTTCAGAGTGAAACCTCACGTTATCAAGCACACTTTGGGCTATGGTTCTACATCTCCTGGCTGTAGTTCTAACATAGCAAAGCTCTTGATAGTGCTTTCTGTAAGGATAGGAAATCTGAGGAAGAGCTAGGCTGCTTGACAACACTGAGAGTTAAACATTCATCAATACTCAGGGAGAATGTGGGATACCAGGGTTAGATTGAAAGTGGAATACCAGGGTTAGATTGAAAGCTGTATTCAAAAGCAGTTAAAAGCAAAACCAATGTGCTCGAACTGTTGTGAATAAAGCAGGAAGCTGAAGGGTCATTTGTTATTTGACCGGAAAAAAGAAACAACCACAAAATAAGAAAACAGAAAGTAAGTTCTGAGAATCTGAGTCTCCTGACTACCTGAGATCTCATTGAGCTATGTTGTTAGGCAGTCACAGTCCTGTGGCTACTGTACAAACAGAACAAATTAGGTTTTTGCAATAAGTACCACTATAGCAAGAAATTACCTCTTATTTTGCAAAATTCATTACTGTAGCATGATATTTACACCAGTCTGTATTTTTGCAATGTGCTGTGTCTGGGTACAAATGTTTTTTTTTTTTGGTATTTGTTGATGACAAGATTTAATTTATACCAAAAGAAAAATCATTATGTAAATTCAAGAAGAAAATTGAACTACTGTGTCTATTAGTTACAGATTGCTGCTAGAGCTCTCTGTGGAGCCCCAAGGCATCAGAGCTCTGCCATTAGCTTTCTAATAAAATGTAAACCTAGGAGGAAAAGTCTATTTTATAACCCTCTTAATGTATTGCCTTTTTAAAAATAAAAGTAAATTGAAAATGATAATTGAAAATTAAAATGATAATTCAAAACTTATCTGTGCTAAAAACTGAATTAAAAAGTCACAGAACCAAACAATTATATATCTATAAGATTTATGAGTAAGTGTAAGTAGTGGGTTCTGGTTTTGAAATTATCTAGAATTTTGCTTAAAAATTTACTTGCAAGATAGAGCTGCAAAAGAACATTTTCCTTCTCACTGGCAACCATGCTCTCAGGGTTCACAGTGATCCATATGCAATTACACTCTGAGCTTAGAATAGCTGCAATTGTTGTATTTAAGTGTTATGACCTGCCCCTGAGACAGGGTAACAGGTTCTTTTTAATAGATCCCTTGGGGTAAATTAGAATGAAATGGCACTGAATGACTGGTGTATATATAAGGCAGATTTATTTTAAAATTATTTAATTGCAGCAGAAAGGAGTCATGTAGCAGTTTTGGTTCTTTTCTGTAAAAATATAAAAATATCACACCCTGAAAATTCATCTCCTAAACCATCATTCATTGATATTGAATATCACATAAATCAATCAATGATCATAATGCCCCCAAAATACTTTCTTCCTGTTAAGAAGTATGCGAATAAAGCTGTGGGAAATGACAAAACTCACACTTAATCACATTTCTATACTTCTGCTGAATACTCTATCAAGTATAACTACACTATAAAGCTTGTAGCTTTTGTCCTAATATTTTATAAGACTCTGACTACAGTGTTCATCTGTCTACATCTAGAGTCACATTAACACTGACATCTTTTTACTTTCTGAATTTACTCTTACTAACAGATCTTTTCACTGTTACTAATATTTTCTCACTCATTAAGTTGCCAATGTCCTGTTCAGAATGCTGTGTACATGGAACTACAGCTTGCCACTTTGGAAGGCTGCTGCTGTTTTCTTGTCTTTGCATAATATTGAAAACAATGCTTCCCCCCCCCCACCCCGTAGTAATTAGACACTGAAAAATGTAATGAAAAACAAATGAGAATGATACAGAGCTCTTCAGAGGGCTTTTGTATAATTTTCTAAACCACTTTAGATGCCAGCATTTAA